TGTTTTATTACTTATATAGCTACAGAAAAGAGGACATGAAAAATGTTTTGCAAAGATCTGATGATTATCATATAATTTAAATAATGACTGCAAGTAACAAGACAGGAATAAAACACGCTAACTCTGTTCCAAAGAAAACCAAAGAGAGAGATGTTTGTTTCCATAAGGCAACATGAGGTTATAACGGTCTCTAGAGTCCTCTCGTAATGATGCTTCACACCTTCTTACTACAGCTGGTATTTTTCCTCAAATGTCAAGAGCTACTTTAACTTAATCCCCTCAAATCCACAGTGAAGAAAATAAAATTCAAGCAGCAGCTTCTTAAAGAGAGCTCTTATTCACAGAGACCACACGGCCTTTCAGAATTAGTTAATTAACACATTTTTTTTTTCATTTTTTTTATTTAAAACGAAATATACTTTCTTTTTTTTATCACAAACCAGGTTTAATACAAAAGTATGACTCGTATGACTAAGTACAAAGTATTACGTATTAATTAGGCTTTAGCATGTGGTTATTTTATACAAACCATTTATTTGCTTATTGCAAAACCATGCTATATTGTGATATAAATATATGGTTGTTGAACTATGAACAGGATAAAAAATGTTGGCCATATCTCGCAGCCCTCGTGTACAGTTGAGCTTAGAGACAAACAGAAGTCAGACATGGTGACATTTTCTTCCCATGAAGGCTTCTGTTTGTATGCTGCGGTTTTCTTCTCTCTACCCACGGGACCCTACATACTTCTGCACTTTAATTTTGCATTCCCCTCTTCTCTTATTATCTCCACTTCCTTTTCACTGGAGTAATGCTCCATGGCAGCACCGGGCTCAGTTGGACACGTTTTGTTTGGGTTTAAGCTACGTTCCCCCCCCCAGTCCCCCTGCTCAATTTTCCACGGAAGTCTTGTCTGACTAGCGGAGCCGTCTTAAATCCTCCTCGGCTATGACAATACTGCTCCTCCCTGAGGATGTGGAACTGGGTCAGAAAAAGACTCCCTGAAATATAGACATGGTGAGGGACGCAGCAAGAAACCAGGAAGATTTCAAGGAGGATGCACCACTTTCAAGCAAACTACAAGTCTCTTTTTTTAACAGACTTAGTTGCTCACATGGCTTCACTCCTTTTAATTAACATACAACAGTATTGGTGAAATTCTGTGTCACTACTTGGAGATGTGCTTAAAGCTGACGCCTCATAAAGAGTGCGAGGGGGTCGGTACAATAAATAGGTCTGCACCTAATGATGGTGGAGTTAAAAAGAAATGCAAAGTATAGCTTTTATTTTCCTTCAAAGTGTATGAACGTGCAAAAAAACTAAAAGGTGTAAACACACAAATAAGTAGACTCGAAAGAGAGAAATGCAAACACAGCCTGCTGAGACAAACTACAATCCTTCGCTCACGCTGAGGCAGCAAGATGCAACTCCCTATCTGTACCCTCTCATCTCTCTCTCACACACACAGATACACACACACACTACACACAACCATTGCAGAACCTGCCCTGAGAGCAGCTAGCCTCCTCAGATTTCCCATTCAGACATCCGGTCGGGGGAAATCATTAATGACACACTGAGCGGTGAGATTTCCACAACCTGCCGAGCAGCTCAGATTCACAGAGCGGAAGCAGGAGTACCTCAAGGAAGTGTAACACGAAACAGAACATTGATTTGTCAAAATGAAATGAAATCAAATGCCATGCTTTAACTGCAGACTTCCTAAACATTTGAGAGAGTCGCAAAATGTACTTCCTTTTAGCTTACTAACTTAAAATCTGATCAAAATAGCCATTTCCAAAACCCATGTAGCAACACCCCTTCTAAATTAAATATTGTGACGCTGCAGAGCTGCAAAGTCCCCTCATACTAAATGTACCTAAATTGTAATGATACATCGAGTTCACCTAATTCAGTGTCCATTTGAAAAAGACTACAAGTTTGAAAATGACAATAAAATCTGCTGAAAATAAAAAGTCAGAAAGACGGCATTTAGGCAGTCCTCTTTGCTTTATGCTAGCAGCTGAAGGCTACATCAGAAGCTGCTAGCATAACACAGCCAAAACCCAGAGCGAACAGTTTGTGGTCGAGTTGCATTTTGGGTAATGTAGGCGCCAGGTTAAGGCGAGACATTTTTGGTTTGGAAGACAGGCACTGAAGGGTCCTCCCCTAACATTAATCTATTTGTGCATAGCATGTCAAATATAACAGATTGCAGCTTAAATCACAGATTCATATTTTTAGGTAGTACAAATATGGACCACATGTATTTCTGAATGTTGTGAAGCAAACACTAAAAAACTACATATTTCAGTCAGAACTCCAAAACCAGAAGCAGTGTGATCCGTGCTAGGCAGAATTGGATAAAGGAGGAGAGGAGAAAGATGTTACATAAGATTATCAGTAGCAACAACAACTGTGTGGGATTATTAATAAATAAATACAACCACCTTGAAAAAAAGACCCTACTTTAAACTGAATAACTCCTCCTGACTCCGCTGAATGAGATTATCAGCATTAATGGGAATTGTCAGACAGCTTGGTCAAGTTTGCAGCGTCATGGTATGTTTAACAAAAATAACACACAGACACTGAAAAGCCTGATGCTAAAAAGAGCAGTTGCTGTGTGATGCAAAAGCATGGTATCAGTAACCATTTCTTTATTGTTAAATAAAATGGAATTTCTGTTGTTCTGTAGGCAACATCATATAATAAAAAAAAAAAAAATTCAGTTTTAGTAAGAGGAATCTCATCAGATCACTTTTTTTTTGCATTGAAATACAAGTATAAGAATCTAAAATGTCAGAAACAGCTGCAGCCTCAGGTTGCTGAAAGAATCGATCCGTTTGTCTCCACCATCTGTGGATCTCTTTATATTCATGTGTTATATGACCCCAGAGTGACTATTGATGTGAAGATTTAGTGACTTAGACACTACATTTTTTTTCCATTTGGTTTTTGGGGTTTTCCTTTTCCTGTAGTGTGTCATACTGTAGGTTTGTGTGCATGTAAATGGTCTGCAAAGTCCTACAATCTCACAGTTCATGCCAGAGGGAGTTTCTCTCCCTTCCTTTGTTTACTGTGTAATACTGTTTAACACAATAAAAAGCTGCAAAACAGCTATTTATTGGACCTTGTTGTGAGAATATTTTGCCACAAAAATGTATTCTTGAAAGGCAGGAGTTGTTTAATAGCAGTGTACACACAAACTAAATAATAATATATGATATGCACTTTATGGTCCCTAGCATTTCAATCAGCAAAATGTTTTCGTTTTCTAAAATCAGATCAGTTCAACAGACTAGATTTGTGCTCAGTATCAAAAATCAACATTGTGCTTAAAATCCAAACAATGCGAGTATATTTCTTTCACACAAAGAGACACATGGAATCTCACTGCCCACACGCTCAACATGCCGCAGGACAAGATCCAAAACCCACCAGAGAGGAAACATAAAGACATTTTACAAACAGTCTTCTTATTCACAGCCACTCTGCAAATAAGCGTTACGATGAAATGAATAGTTAGTCATAGTGTAGTTCTAATCGTTGCACCTCATGTTGAGAGAAACCTGCCAGAGACTGAAACTCTAACCTCCTTCTCCCCCTAACAAAACCGTCGGAAAGTAAAACCAAACACACTCGCTCCTGCTGTGGAAATGTTAATTATAGCAGCAGATACAGGTCTCACAACAGAAACTATATCTGTTGATTAGGAGGAAGCGATGGTGAGTGTCTCGTGGTATTAGGTATCTTACAATACACAGGTTTCCAGCCTGATGCATGATAAAAGCTCAATAATGATGTCAAAATGAGCGTCTGTTTCTGTGGCTGCTGAGGACGCCATAGCAACAGAAATTATATTAGTCATATTACAGATTTCTAATTGTCTCTAAGGGGAGATTCTGCTTGGGCAATGCTGAAGATGGCTGCTAACAGCTTAGAATAATATCTAGCCAACACGATGGTTCACTGATCAAATACACAGTAAAACAAACTAAAATGTTTTACAAGAGCTGAGCAATAAGATATTTAAATACATATGCATTATAACATCAGGAGAGTATAATACACAATACATATGATACTGAAGGGGAGTTACTGTGAGCAGTTTACAACCCACTGTGATGTTTCTGGTGTTTGATGATTACAAGTAATAAAGGTGAGTCACAGGAGTAGATAATGCTTCAAGTTTACAACCTATCATTTGCCTGATACAATAGTAGTCTGAAAAACAATGGTTCTGAACCCGGGTGCAACTCAAAGACAAGGACAGCCACAAGAGGAAATCTCCTGAAAATACTGACCACAAAAAGGGAAAGACTCTTGAGAAAGAAGAAAAGAGGCTATTAAATTAGATTTTCTCACAATAAAATACAAGAAGGTGGCAGAGCATTATGTTCCTGCTACCAGTACAGGTGAAGGTCGACTGAAGAAGGAGGTTTAAACAGGGAAGACGGTGTGAATATGAGAGTAAATGCACAACAAAAGCTTGCCAACAGCACACATATATGCAGATGTGCCCGATGACATGCAGAAGAATAAAAGGGTTGGATCAAGCAAAGGCCAGATTGAAGAAAATACGATAATTTGCTTTATTGATCCTTTGGCTGACTATTAGCTTGAATGATGAACTAATTGCCTGAAAATAGTTTTGAAAATTAATTTTAACCAACAAACAACTCAAAACCAAACGCCTTTTGCTGTTCATATGCTGCTCATATTTGAGAGGCTGAACCCAGCTCTATAACAGCTTTAACATTTTGAAAATTGCTTATTAATTTTGTGAAAATCAATCCATAATTATTTCAGCTTAACATCAACCAAACTACTCAAATTTAATTATTTATCAAATTTGGTTTATTATCTTTTTTAATACTTTTCTATTTTACTCTTATGTTAATTGTCCTGCCTGTATAGGACAGTAGAAAGGTGAGAGAAAGAGAGAGATGAGGAGATCAAGCTGCTGTGTTGCGTGTTGGAGGGTGGAGAGTTTGTACCTGAAGCAGACGGTGTGCCAGTCGGAGCTGAGCGCCTGCAGGTACTGCTCATCGTAGATCCTCTGTTTGCATCCCGCGCAGATGGGCAAACTTCCTCCAGCTGAAACAAAGACACGCAGGTCAGAGCACGAACAGATACCCACCAGTAATTACTTAATTATGCATAGAACCAACAACAGTTCTTTGATGGGATGTAAAAAATGCTGTAGTGTGTTTGCATGGGTCTGTTATCACTGTGCTTATCTGGACTTCAATGCAAATCCTCACTGAGGCTCCAGATATCAAACAAACTTAATTTCTCTCTCCCCGTCCACAGATGTCTGACAGACAGTCATAGTGTCAGTCAGCAGGCGATTTATTTATTTTTAGTTCATAACCTTTTGTTTAAGAAGAAGAATTTAAGAATAATATCTAAAGAGGTCTTCCTTTGTTACACTATTGTACTTTACTTGATGAATAAAAGGAATTTTTGGCTGATTGCTAATAAATGTAATTGTTGCTAAATCGAAAATCAAGACAGATACATCCTGTTACATTACATAGCATAGAGCTGATGCTTTTGTCCAAAGCGACTTAGAATAAGTCACAATTACAATATGTATAATAAATGTTATTATTAACAGCTTGAGAACATGAGACTTGTTCTGAACAAATGTGGGAATCATCTACATTACTTCCAACAAATTCCAATGTAGGAAAAAAAGCATGTCTCCGCTGCAGCTCAGCAGTAACACTACAACATTGTATTGACAACATTAACTGCATTATTGGGTGCTTTTGGTGGCATATTGTAGAGGCAGCTAAAACTAAAATACGTGTGATGAAGTTCTTCTGCACACCCACAGCTAAATGTCGCTGCTTGCCATCTGTCAAATGCAAAACAGATTTATACAAATTAAATGGTGGGCACAGATCAGTTCACAGACATCTGCTTCCTTCATAGATTCAATATAATATACCATTTAGAAATATATCAGTGTATTAATGTAGAATCACAGGAAAGGGTAAGGTTGCAGCTTATATTATTCATCCATCTCTTGAATTTGAAAACTGTGCTGTCAGAGGTTTGGTGCGTTTAGCTTGTTAGTTTAATGCTTGAGCCTCCCTGCAGCTTTATTGATCATATCGACTCGCAGGCAGTCTGATTTGCGCTAATGCCTTTTCTCTCCTCTCCTTTCACCTCACCTCTTTACTAATTGATATGTTTATATCTCATCTCTTCATTATGGAGCACCTTTCTCTGTGATAAATGTGTCCTCCTGTCATCTGCAGTCTGCAAAGGCCTCAGTATAGGTACACAAACACACCTCACACACACACTGACAGTAACCTGTGCAGCAGCACCGGTTGTCCCAACTTATTCATTACTCACACAGTTCCTCATGCCAAGTGAGTCATCACATAAAAGCTCTATTGTCAGGTCTGTGAACTTGTTAGTGTGTTTCAAAATGTGCAGCAATGTCACATATCAAAGCCTGAATTCAGCAAATATTCACATTGATGCACACATAATACCTAATCTTGTTGTAGAGCAATGTTTTCCAACGTTTAATAAAAAGAAATACTTCTACTTCCTGCGTCATTCCAAAGTTCAACCAAACAACATGTTGTTCTTGTTTGAATAGCAGAAAAGGTTAAATAAAGTAATGTATAAGAAAAAGAGCAAAGGTTAGATTTACATTTAAAAAGCGTATACTTTTTGTAGCAGGACTTTATTGATTTAATTGTTCCCTCTTTAGTTAATCATCTCATAACACCTCCATTTCAAGAGGATTTTCTTCAGTTGTGTTCTTTAAAAAAAACTGAGGTAAAGGATGTTATCATACTGACACTGAATATTTCTCCAATACCATTTACAACAGGAGATAGATAGAGAGGTGGGCAAACATTCATCTTAAGGCTATCAGTATATGTGCAGCTACATATCAAATAATATGTTTTTTTTAAATGTAGGATCTTTGGATGCAATTTCCAAAGTTGCACCTTGTCTGTCATTTTGCAATAAGCACCCCGTAGATTCCTAATTGTAATGCATACATGTAACAACCTGTTTACGAGCAGAACATTTTTGGCTATCCTGAGTGTGCATGGCATGAGGGTGCACACTGCATCCAAACATGAAGGATGCATCAACTCCGAGGAAACAGGGCTTCAGTTTCGGTATACAGCCTGAAGCTGCCCGGAGACACAATGCTGTCTGTGTGTGACTGACAATAAACGATATTAAAAGCAAGAGAAATAGTGGACAAAATAATGTTCATATCCACTTTCGGTGGAGCATCCTGTGTTTTGTTTCGCTGTCTCTGCATCTCCCGCCCCGCCGCATGCATCTCCTTTCGCGGGTCCTTACCTTCCTCCTCTCCCATGCGTTCGTCCTTCCAGGTGCAGCACAGCAGCATCAACCTCATTCACTCTCTCACCGAGCTCCGGGACAGAGCCAGCCGCCTCTGGTCGACAGATAACCGGTGTCCGACCACCTCCGCAGCCCATCCGCCGGTCGTGTTGCTGTGCCTCGGTCCCTCCCTGCGGCTGCTTCCTCCTGTCTGCACGTTTCTGCGGCGCTTCATTCAAGAGAGCGGCCGACCAATGAGCTTCTGATACGGGGAGAGGAAGACTCAGCCGGCCAATCAGAGAGCTCCCTGTTTAATTAATGCAAGTCTTCAGGGATGGGGAGCAGCGGCACAGTGGAGTGCAGTAAACACCACGGGGGGCTAACAAGTAGAGAATAACTACATATTAGTCTAACTCCCATATTTTACAGGTGTTTGTTAACATGTATACCATGTTTTATTCTTTGGAGTAGTGTAATAATACTCTGTTACAAGTCCTGCATCAAATCCTTCTCGAGTAAGAGCACTCATTATGCAGAATGTCCAGTTTCAGAATCATATACAGTATACTGTATTATATTGCAGAATTGTAACAATAGATAAACATTAATGTGTTCATGTTGCAGCTGGTAAAACTAGAGATAATTTAGATTACTTGATATACTGCTGGGTAGGTTAACCTATAATAAAACATTATAATGTAACAGTTGAAAGGTATTAATAATATCGGCAGTCAACTTAGTCAACTAAAAAGCTAAAGACAAATAAATTACTTTAAATTGAAAATGTCTTTAAGATCATTACTTTTGAAATCGATGCCGCTTAAACGCAACACAGAAACACGAAAGTCTTGAAAAATGTTTCACCAACTATTGGTTGCAACTTACTTTCTTGTTGAAATATATTAAGCAGTATACTGCAGTGCCATAGTGACACTGTGGGATTAGACTTCTGCTGATGGAAAAACCGTTTTAGCTTTTTTAAAGGACGCAGATCACAGGTCAGTGGTTCTCCCAGGAGAACTTTGGCAACATGAGTTCATTATTTCCAGCTGGCACAAAAAGAACAACGTTTATAGTCACCACTGAGGAGACTGCCAAATCATTCACATATGAGACTTTAAAATACACTTAAAGGTAGGGTAGGTAAGTTTGAGAAACCGGCTCGAGATACACTTTTTGTTATATTCCATGGAATGCTCTTAACATCCCGATAGCAATGAATATCTTAAGTGCTTTGACAAAAAATCCATAAAAAAATGTCATCTGTGGAAGCCGTAGTACTGTAAAAAGTACGACCAATCATTTTAGCCGGCCCGGCTAAAATAACTGGATGGCCTACCTGCCTGTCAGCCTTCCATCTGTGCACAAACTTATCTCGTGCCCTCATTGGTCATGTGCGCGTTCGTGTGTGTTGGAGGAGGGGCTCTGTAAGGAAGTGGCAGATTTTCTCCGGTTGTGTATTTTCAAATTCTAGCGATCTCGAGCCGGTTTCTCAAATGTACCTACCCTACCTTTAATCTGATGTTTCCTGATTCATTATGCCAAGTGTGAGAAAGTTAAGATCTGATGGAACTGACAAAGAATAAGACGTGAACCTGAGATGTTATCCCTGTGTGGTATGTGAGGGATTACACCGGACCCCCTCGGCCAGGTGGTTTTCATCAGCACTGTTTCTGAGGAATGTACTCATACAGAAAAGAATAATATAAACAAACAGGAAGACACAAGGTATTTTAACACATTTTATTATGTTACTTAAGGAAGCAAATTCAAAGCTGGATTCTGGGAATAACTCACAAGTGTGTCGTGGAAATATAAAAAGTGCAAAACCACACTGTTCCTCCTTATGAAAACAGTTTTAAATAAAGATGAAGAGTATCCCCAGGCACATAAGACGAAGTCTGACCCAGCGAGGCTCAAAGACAGTTCTTACACAGCACCGAGTGAAGGAACCCAAGCCAGCAAATATCAGATTAGTACAAAATACAGTACACGATTACAGGAAGAGATGGAGTCACTGGGCAATGGCGTTCATTAACCTTTGGACAGTAAGCCTTTTTTAAAGCAGCTCAAGTAAATGAAGAACAATGAGAGCTTAAGCCTCACAAAAACACTTCGGCTCTCCTGTTAAACAAAGTCGTATTCTGTATTACAATTCAAAACAGTGAATAAATGTGTTTTATGTACACACAAAATAAAGCTATGAGTCAAAGCAAACACATCTTGAACTTATATAAATGTAAATAACTGCTGCATTGAGACTAAACATGTAAAGCAGACTAGAGCGTGAAACATTGACACATCCATAATGTACATGTCAGAGCAGTCTCTGCGTTACATTTTAATATACCTGGAACTAAAAGGCCTCGCCGCTTTTTCCTAAGGTTTTTAAACATCCTGTAATGGATCTTTTGATTTTCAGCGGCATGTCGCTCCTCAGAGCACCAACTGCTCTTCATTCATCACAAGTTTGGCAACATTAGAAATGCTGAGAAAACTGAACTGCGTAGCAACTAGAATCAGCAAAGTTACAGAGCAGATGGGTTGGCCGGAGCCCCAATGCCCGCTGCTCGACACCCCGCAGGCCTAAAAATAGCAGCCGAGAGGACGAGGAACCAGAGAGGACGCTGAGATTGGCCAGATTTAATCAATTTTCTGGACGAGCTAAGACCAACCCGACCCATCTGACATGTCAGAGAGACGACAGACAGTGTGACTGCAACACTGAGGACAGTTCACCTTGCTTCAGGATTAAAACCAAAATCATTCATAGGTCAAAATTGCAGCCGATGGTTCAGCCAGTCTTTCACACAACAATACAAACCACACACACATTCAAACACAAGAACAACACGTGGTGACACAAACACACTCTTTGTATTTTAAGTAGGCTGCTTCAATACGGGGGATTAAAGCTGGTTACCTTGGGCACATTATTGATTAAAGGCACTATCAATAACAAGCGTCACATCAGAGCGTGTACAAAATTCTGGGTCGGTGGGTTTTTTGTATAAAAAAACAAGTAAAAAACAAAACAAAAAAACATCTTTACATGTTTTCTTAATGGGGTTTCTTTGCATATAAAATGTACATTCTAGATCATGCAGTAGCACCGTGGTTTGTTGAGGTCACACTGGTGAGCTCTACTTCCTCCTCCCACAGAATTTGCCCTGGCATCCCGCAACGCCACCTGCAGCAAAAACACAGGATTATACTTTAATCTTTTATAAGAATACCCCAGAGACATTCACACACACATCAGCTTTTTTATGTAGCAGGCTTCTGCATCTGCCGTTGAGGACGATGTAATAGGGCCATTGTATTTTTTAAATAGTTTTTGAATTACAGAGCCGATGGAGATTTACAGAAAAATAAAAACCTTGGTTTTTCCTCAGATTATAAAGTTATTTGGTAGAAAAACATCAACCTCAACCGACAAATTATCCTTACAAATGTGTGCACTGCTTATATAATCTCAATGAATAAGCACGTTTTTCTTTCTGGTAAATTTGGAAGATTCTTTCTATGAATATTACCCCCCTCCCTGCTTTGCCATTGATATTATTAGTTTTAACTTTAATGGCTGTCGTTGTAGTTGTTAAACTGACTGAAGTTGGTAAAAGTGTTTACCTCTGTAGACTCCTCCTCCTCCTCCAACTCCCCCTCTTCCTGCACCAAGGAAGCCCTGCAATGGGCCGTACTTCGCTGCTTTGGCTGCAGAAAAAAGGACAACCAAATTACTAATTTACTTTGAATAACAATGCTAAACAAATGTTTTAATGCCTTTACATGTTCCCCAAAAAGTCTCGTTTCTCTGCTGTAATGGCTGAGTGAAGTTTAGGTTGATAAATGTGTGACCACAGCATCCATACAGCTACTATTCTGTACCAACCAAACAGAAGGAGGAAAACACCTGCCATTTTAGGAATTTGTACACAGTTTATTTTATATCTGCCAGACCACAGTCAATGTGTGGAATTTTATTTTAGCCTTGGAAATAGTAGTTGGACTTTACTATAAACACGTATGATCCACCTCACAACCTCAACAAAGAAAACTAGTATAATTTGAACTAAGATTATTTTGTTAAATGTTTGGGAATATGTATAACTCTAGACTGAAATACAATGAGTGATGTGGATGGGGTGTAAAGTGAAGGGCTGTCCTAAGATATAAGAATGCATTGTGATTTATAATTTTTACAAAAACAAACCAGACTGTAAACATCACTGGCCTACAGAAAATTACATCAGTGTTAACTGAGTGTTCACGTAGCAACACACGCATCATCCATGTGACATCTATTATTACACAGATGAGTTAGACCATAATGTAATGTCTGTTCATTTATATAATGATATCCTTTATTCATTTGGCAACAGGACAACTTAACCGTGTATCATACTGTATCCTTGATTTACAATTACGATTGGATTTCTTGGTAATAAAGTTATAAACAAACTTGTTTATTTATATGAACAATACCAAAGAGGCAATGACATCAAACCTGCCAGTGAGTTTTGAATGTGTGTGTATGGACTTGATAAAGCTGTAGATGAAATGCCCTTCCCTGGATATATAGAGTTGTCAGATTATAAATCTGAAAGTGAATGTAAATCACCGGAGGCTGTTATTTATATGCTGTAATATAGCGTGTAATGTAATCCTATGTAGGATCCATTTATCCATCCATTAGTGAAACCCACTCATTTTATGGAAGGTCGTGGGGGGCTGTAGTTAATCATGAGCCGGCAATAGTTGCCGAGAAACTGACATGCATGAAACAGACTGTGGGAGGAAACTGTTGAATCCAAAGTAATCTAATTTCACTCATTCATTCAGAGATCAAACTACTGACTGAAAGAAACCAGACGTGCTCTCCTTGAAATAATCCCAGCAGCCGTAATCTCTGATGTTCAGGAAAATGCAGATTATCATCACACTGTGCCGTGCCATCTGCACCGATAGCATACACAGAATCACTGAAACACTTTCCAAACAATCTGACCAGGAGCAGAGAGACTTGATATTTATTATTGCTTCCTGGTGTGGAGATGTGTGTGAATGTGAGGAGGGGGTTTGTACCTTGTTGAGGAGTCAGTGGGGCCGGCACATATCCATCTAAACAAAATCAAAGACAAATGAGAGAAAACATGGTGCCATAAGACTAACGCTGATATGAAACCACTATGGATCTGTCACAGTGGATGATTTATGTGTCCCGGCCAGGATGTGGTGAGGAGACATTAGTATAATATCACATGAGAGGCACGTCTGATCCAGAGACGCTCTCAGTGTATTCAAGTAACCAGTGTGCACAGACAATGTGTTCTCCTGTCTGTGTTTTGTATTTAAAATAAATTAAAGCTAACAAGAGAGAAGGTGCTTAAGGTTTTGCCTATTAAGCTGCTGGAATTTGAATAAAGTGAGCTCTGACACCGACCAATTTTCTTCTGATGTGTTTTGCAAAATGGGAAGAAGACTACAAACATCATTAAAATTTCAATTTGCTCTACTGTCTGTAGTAATCCAATTAATCTTTGTGTAATTAGGTTCTCAGAAAAGAAAAGGGCAGGTTGTCATTATTCAAACACAATGTAATACCCTGAGGTAAACTCAGCCTCCCATGTGTGTAAAAAAACGAGTGATAGATATTAGAAATTCAATTATGTTAAAAGTTAAACCCGCCCTTTCTGCCTTCGCGAGGTAAATAAATACAAGTAATATGAATATTTTCTATAATAATAGTATGTCATTCAAACCATGCGTCTTTATGATCAAATGTTTTCATTTCATTACTAACCTTCATATTTTCTATTCTAAATTTGATCAGAGATTTAATTGAGATTGCATTCTCTCTACTGTACGTCCACTAGTAACACGGTAATAATTCTTGTTTTCTTATGCGAGATTCCATGGAAACCCCCATAGTGGATATGAGCGGAAGTTGTAGTTGCATTGTGTTTACATTTTCCAGAATAAAGGGAGGGAGAAAAGATACATTGTCCACATCCAGGGCTATTGAGCAATAACCATAAGAGTGGTCATTCTGCTTTGGTTCTCCTCTCCCTTTCTAAATGCCCTCAGCTCTAAAGGGGAAAACGATGAGTCAGTGTTCCTGTTCTTTCATCCATTCAGCTGTGTTACCTCCCTGATGGCAGTTGGGCATTAATCCACCTTCTCATCCAGAAACAATGATGAAAAGTTAAAAACTACTGCGCTCTAAATCCTCTTCTACGGGAAGAGGTTTGGCCAGCATATTCTGGTATATGTTTGACTTTAAGTAGCAGTGAAAAACAATAATGACAAAGAAACAACATACAAATGAACCTTTCTGTATCTATACTGAAGAAAAGATGGTAAGTAGGAAAGATCTTAAAGTGAAAATCTTAAAGCTGGCTTCTTCTCTTGCCCCCGCCTATTAAGATAAATGTTCCTATTCTGTCGTCTGTTGGGTCCTTTCCACTGATTTATAACCCGCAGGTTACAGCACAGCACGCTGTTTAACACCTATCTTTCATTTACATCGTGCACAGACACAGAAATGCAGAGAGAGCAGCTGTCATACTTTGGTAGTACTGTTGGGGGTAACCTCCTCCATAACCAGGGACCACAGGAGCCACAGGAACTGCACCTGTAACATTAAAAAGCTTTACTTAGTGTACCATGGAGAGGATGCATAGACAGAAAAATAACATCCTATCCTATTGGTAACCGACAATATTCCTAATACAATATAATCATTAACTTTGATAGACAAACTGTTATGATATGATCATGTAAGTTGTGAAAAAACTACCTAGTAACAACTTTGAGTGACATTCAGTTTTAGGGACGTCAAGACGTTAGTCATTTATATTATTGTTTTTATGAATATATTATTTATAATCATTTCAATCAATAATTGCCTGGTGTCTGTTTGGCAGGGCCGGCTGTTCCGTATAGGAATTCATGTATTTATTTAAAAACAGAAAAAAAGGATACTTGGAGGCCCAACTCTAGGTGACTGAGCCCCCTTCGAGGTCTATCTGTTCACATGCTGGTACAGTATGTACTGTGAGTTTGATATCTTAATATATTTTTATAGAAGCCAATTATTATTCACCATTTGGCAAACCCTTCTGTTGGAAAAAGCTATTGGCGAACAAGAAAAGTTATTAAACCATCTGTGGAAGCATTTCACACAGACGTGTATCTCTCTGGCCTTTGGGAGGGGGATTAGGGGAATGGGTTTTAAAGAGCAGCCTGGTCGGGGTCTGTGGGGCCGAGAGAGGAGCTGCTGCTGTGAGATTACACTCATCCCTCACTGGTGGCCAGAGGAGGAGGAGAGGACCAGAGGCTACTCTGCACAAAGTGTGGAGAGTGTGGTGGACAGCTGATTTGAAATGTGTCCCATATTAGCCACTATTGTTTTTTGTTGATGATTAAAAAACAGTAAAATAAGATAGTACCTAAAAACGGCGTATGAGGACCATTGTACAAGAAAAATAAAAAACGTTGAAGTTGGATCCACGTCATCATACCACAGGCTCTGTTTAATGCCTGCAGCGGAGGACTTCATGTTATTTTACTGTGCATTTGGATTCAGCAATATGGAAAATACTTGTGATTTATGCTAACAATCACCATATTATCATAAGCATGCAAACATTGAAGAGACAATTCCAATTTCAAACACCATAGTTATTTGAGTTCTCTCTTGGAAATATTCATAATTTATTTACTTTGACCTATAAAGGCCCCAATACTGCGTCCGAGCAGAAAATAGTAAATATGGTTTTTCTCACCTGGCTGATAAAAACCGCCACCTCCAAGATGACCGTAGCCTGAAAAGCAGACACACAAATCTCAATAATGAGTCCATTCTTAGGATTTAACAGTGAGTATGACCTGTTATATTGGTTTGGTTCCTATAGCTGTTGTTGTTTGTCCCCCTGAGGTGAAGCCAGTGGCTCAGCTGAGGTCGCAGCAACAACATCATCCAAACGTCCTCTGGCAGAGTTTTGCTATTTCAGTGCAATTCTCCGGGGGTTTGTGTTATGTTCCAACAGTCACACTTTGATGTTGCACACAGCTTCACTAACAGTAATCAGTCCCCATCAGGAAATGTTATGTTGTCGACTTGCTTCATTTACAAACTCCTAACGGCACTGTAACACTGCAGGGAGTACAGTTATTTGCTTGTTTATACTAAACCTACTTGTTCTTGTTTTTGATTTTATTTATCTTCATATACAGTACAGTGCACTACTTTTTAATTGTGTTCATTATGTTTTATGTTATATTGGTGTGGTTTGGGATGAAAAAAAGGATCCCCTGTATGTTCTGAAGCCCTTGTTGATGTTACAATGTTGATTGCCTAATTTATTATCTACAGTCTGCATAAATGTTTGTTAACTTGCATGTTTTTTGCCTGAGGACGAGATGGTGCATCTCAAGGGGATTGTCCTCTTATTATAATTTTAAAAAGGGAAATACAACTAACATGGCAGCTTTTATGTATTCACTAATACATGCATTTTTCTTGGGACTCATCAGTTTCTCAGAAAAAACACTGAATAGATTATGTTTATACCGGATTGATTTTAATGCAGTAAAACGTTTAATCTAATTTCTTCAGCAGGAGCTTTGTCACAATCAAAGGAAAGAAAACATTTGACAATCACCCAAGTCCTAAAGAAATAAATCCTACTTTAACTAATTTACTATTACTGAGTATTACTGAGAAGGAGGAAGCAGGGAGGAATATTGAGTATGAACACATATTAATCTCATACAGTATATGCCAACATCTGCTCCACTTTTCCAAGCTATTTGACATTTAAATGATGTTTGCTTTAACAGTTACAGGCCTGTTACTCTACCTGGTTTGGGTGGTTTAGCTCCACCTCCACCTCCTCCCAGTCCACCTGCAGCGGGATACTGCAGCCCACCTGCAGCGGGATACTGCAGCCCACCTGCAGCGGGATACTGCAGCCCGCCTGTCACAAGACAAAGAGAACTGGCTTAGATTTGATTACGTTAACCTCGCTGGCACAGGATTGTAAACCGGCCTCAACCACTGTAATTACTGCCTCCAACACCAGAGGATTTTCTTCATCAAAGTTTCCAGCTGGCTTCTCCTTCCTGACACTCCCCCCCCCCCCCCCCCCCCCCCCCCCCCCCTCCTACAGAAACTTATCAGCATGTCGGCCAGTTTCCTGCACAGGAAGTGGGATGTGATGCCATCTCCTGACCAACTGTCACTTTGAGCACCGAGCAGAACGTTTTAGTTTGTTTATGTTCTTTTTTTATTGGAGGGACATGTGTAAAAGTGCTGTCGGCCTCCTCTCCTCTCATACATACCCTGGCCATAACCATGTTGATATGGCCTGTATCCCCCTGAATCGTGACGACAGAGAAAAGTAGCATTATTTTCTGGTGGCTCAACTCACCTCTTCCAGTTTGTGTCAGGGACGGTTTCATCGGAGAAATGGTAATAATAAAAAAAGCATGCTAACAAAAAGAGGTTATAATTGAAGCCCTATAAATTGAATAAGGAAGAAATTGTGTTTTATGAATCCAAATTAAAGGAATAATCTTGATTTTTTTTAAGCCTGAGCTTGGAGAAACAGACAGGCCCATGCTAAATTATGTTCTTTATTACATGGGAATGTGCCGAACTATGCATCTACTGTAGGGAATATGCTGACTCTGAATAAATACCTAATACAAACCAAATGTAAAGAATCCATGTATCCCTAAACTGACACTTGTGTCGATGTTTGAAGGGTTCACAAAAAAAGTATGTTTAACAGCTGAAATAAATATGTTTATGGGTTCTGACCTTGATAGCCTCCTGCAGCCAGTGGGATCCCTGCTCCTCCTGCTCCGCCAACAGCTACAAGAAGCACAACAAAACAATGTCTAAGCCTTAACAAGCAAAATGTCAAAACATAAATATTTGATTATAACCCAGATGGAGATGTTTGTGAAATGTCTCCTACATACCTGGAGGATTCAAAGGCCTTGCTCCAGGCAGAGTGGCTGCTCCGGTACCAGCACCATAAGGAACTGCAAAGCAGAAATGATAGAAGTGAAAGTCGCAGAAAGTAGCCTGTAAATGTTTATATCATTAAAAAAGAACTTGCCTCCATAGTTTCCCCAATAAGGATATCCACCTCCGGCTTGACCAACACCTGCAACTGAACCGATGGAGCAAATGTGTTAGAAGATTGGAGGGGTAAAGTCAGAAGATTGAACAATTGCTTTTAGATTAGCTTCAATGACTAGTTAACATGAATAGTTAAAAACACTACACTCATTTTTAAGCTCAGGGATTTGTTTCTAAAATGATTAAAAAATGTTAACACTTAAACAGAGATGAATTAAACATGTACTGTAAGGATATTGAATTGTAAACTCAGGTAGGTAAATATATGTTCTCCCAATACTGAAGGTTTTATCATTAGTGTTCAATGTTTCTAGTTTGTGTTATAGTCTTATATGGAACCAACTAAGTTTCCCTCTCAGGGACAACAAGATTTGGACTAAAAGTAATGCAGAAAAATCATTTTGCATTTGGTCTCAAGTCCATCACAGGTAAAATAGTGCAGAAAGGCAGAAATTACTGCAAACCCACAGAGGGATAAAAGTGATGACTCTTCAGTCTTTTGGAGGTTTAATTGGGTCGAGAAAGACCTGATGCAGCTTTTCCTAATATATTAACTGCTGCTTTTAATCGATCCGAGTTAAGTCATTAACTGTCCAGACAGAATGTGCACAGTAAGATAAATACAGTGAGTGAAAGTAGGATCTGTAACATATAATATAATCAGAAAAGGTGTATTGATAACATTATTAGGATGTTTTCATTCTTCAATGACAACATTATCATTTTAGATTTAGATTTGATTAGATTTATTTCGAATGTGTAAAACAATAATACAACAAATTATAATAATAATGAAAGGAAACATGATAATTATTACACTATACAAACTTAAGCAGTGTCAAATTGATAAACAAAAATATTACTGATTCTAAATTATATATAAACATCTACTTAATTACATTATCATTAACACTTGTAATAAGGTATGCATAACTTAACAAATCATCTTCAATCAAACAATGTCCTCTTATTGTGTTGCAGCTACTGTACATACAGTAGAGGCATTTATTTGTATGGTAATACCACATGTCAGGATCTACTTACAGTATATGAACTATTGATTTATGTTGATTGTAAAGCAGGCAAAATAGAGAAATGCAGCAATGTTGCAAAAATAAATTCTGATGAATTATTTATTAGCCATATTTACCCGGTAGGTACGGTTTAGGTGCTTTGCCACTTGTGCCAACACCCACACCTGAAAACAGCAGTTTTTAAAATGATTAAATTCACTGACTACATCCAAGACAAGTGTGGACAGGGCTGTTTAATGTGTATATGTCGCCATCATGTGGCCACAAGGATGAATCGTATCACATTAACTTTCAATACTAAAATACAGCTTGAGTGCTGATTACAACATGGAGTTATTGAACCAATTACATTAATTTAATTAAATACATGATATGCAGAAAGAGCATGAGCAGCACCATTTACCACATGGCAGTACAATATAGCAGCAACGACATTTAAAGTGCAAGAGAAGATAAAAGAGCTACATAAAGTGCGAGAGGAGATGCCCCTGTGTTAAAGTGTATTTAGCGGTGATTGCACGTCTGTTTGTTTCTCAACCATTCTTTGAGTTGACCTTTGAAACTATTGAGAGTGAAACAATCCCGTATCTCAGTTGGGAGGCTATTCCAGAGTGAGCTGCCTTTAATGGAAAGGACATTTTGTCCAAAAGTGGTCCGTCTGCGGTGGAGTTCACAGTCTCCTCTGGTTTCTGACCTAGTGCAGCGTCCAGTGTGTTTTTTGTGGATGAATTCCCCTAAGGGAGGGGGGGCCAGTCCATGTAAACATTTATAAATAGAGCACATACTTTTAAAATACATAAAATTGTGAAAACTCAAGAAATTGTGTTTTTCAAGAATGGTACAGTGGTGGTATGAATAAGGCTTTCTGTCATTATACTATTTTTAGGCATATACTATAGGTCTCAGATATACAAAATATATAAAAAAACATGTCTATACTGTAAGTGTTTTGCTCAAAATACCAAACAGATCACCCATTCTAGCCATGGAATACCCCTCTATGTTCAGCCCTGTTAGAGAAGTCCGGGTCCGTAACTTAAAAAAATATATATATATTTGAAAAAATTAGGAGCCAACGCCTGCACAGAATTCTACCGGCAGATACTCAGCTAAATGCTGCCATTATTAAACCCCATATATTTTTATATCCTGCTTTTTTACACATATTCTCTCCAGTACAACGTTAGCTCTGAGTGTTAGCGATGCTTGCTGATGTAAAGACCATATTACTTCCAAAACACGTCGCGCATTGTTTCTGATAGGGCCGTGGGTGTAAAGCCAGCCCACACATCCGATATTATGTCATATCGGCAGCAAATAGTTTAAAAAGCCAACAAGGAAATAAATATAAAGAACACCAAAAATAAAAATTCAAACCTTGTGCATAAAGTTTTAATACTAAAAAACGGTTTAGATACTGTCTGATATTTGTAATACTCAACTGTAGTTATATGATTTTAATTGCTATTAGAAAATAGATTTTTACCCAAATGTTTAACATAATAATTTATTTGTTTAAATATTTGATTAGATTCAATAATTCAGCTGTTCTTGAAGTATGAAACTAACATGACCAGGTGAACTTCGAGGTCGGTGTGGTATCATATCGGGACCTAACTCTTATATTTGTTACATTTCAGTCAATCTCAGATCCAAACAGAGGTTGTTTACACTTACCAGGCTGGCCTTGGCCAGTTGGACCAACTAAAACATAAGCAGAGGTTTCAGTTAGTGAATGTTACACATGTTAACAGACACAAAGAGAGCAATCTCTTTAAAATAAATACATTCGGAACAAAACACTATATTTCATACAACTCCAACATGATAATGTAAAACTATAAATGGCTCATGATCTTTGCACTCTTACCACCAGAGGGTGCTGCAACACCTGCTCCACCTGGGACAAACGAATACAAAAGGTGGGAGTCAAAAATATAATGTCTGAATAGAACAGAAAATAATATATGGTTGCATATTGTTTGGTTTATTTTCAATATGAGAGAGTTTTGACATACCAACACTTGTGCCAGCTGTGAAATAAAACAAAAACAATGGTTCACCACGTTAACCATCTAATGTTTGTATTTACTAGAATGAATGTTTAAGAAACAATATGCAGAACAACTTACCACTGGGCTGAAGAATACCACCAGAAACTGTAAAACATCCAGGAATAAAAACAAGGATTAAAACAAGATAAAACAGATTCAGAAGTGAATTAAAAATATGCAATTATTTTAAACCCACCGCCTGTTTTCACACAGCCACCACACCAGTAAGAAGTGCAAAAAAAGAAGAACAATTAATCAGTAAAATTGTGTTTTACAAAACAACATTTCAATAATCTTGTCTGTTTGGTTTGATTACATTTATATCATTCACATAAAAATCTGCTGGTAATGGTGAAACTGTAAAACAGAGCCAAAATGTAAATGTTGGTAAAGTAAGGTATAGGAGAAACATACAGCAATGATAGGAGCGAGACATCCTTTTGAAATAATGCAAAACAAGTATTTAACGTGAGAAAATTATGTCAATAGAGCAACAAAACTAAACAATGATAAGCACAGTGATTGTGTTAGTGTAGAAGGCGAGATTGCACAAGATCATAACTTTATTTCATTTTTATAACTATTATTATTTTTGTATTGCTCATGCTCTTATTGTTATTATGTTATGTTATTATGTTGCATTGTTGGAGAAGCCTGTGACATAAGATTTTCAACTGCATAATTACTCTGTAGCTATGTCAGATTGACAATAAAGAACCTTGAACCTTGAACCTTGATACTGTAAGTACTGTTGAGGAAAAGCGACAACATGTGACCGCGACTGACATAATGGTGTTAGAGCGTCAGAGAACACACACTAAATGTTCCTCTCTTTCAGCGCTACATCACAGTGGCAAGAACAGGCCCATACTGTCATGTCTGTGCTTATACATGATGAGTGTATTCCCATTTTGTATAATAAATTCATGTGGGTGAGAATAAAATATGCCAGTGGAGGCTGCTGGGAAACCAATTCAGAGTCAGAACCAGAATACCTTTATTTGAGGGGAAATTTACATTAAGAATGAACCATTAACCAAATATACCAACAGGTTATATAGTGATGTGGCTACACTTACAAATTGTGCTCTTAAGATTTGATTATGTAATTATAAAGATAAATCTGGATGCTAATTAAATTAAAACATTGACCTGCAAAACTAAAGATTCTGAAGTGTCTATTTCGGCAAATATATTCACAAATACTCATTGGAATGTCCTATTCTTTATCAGAGAGAACAATAAATAAATTAGATATAAATACCACAGATTTTATTTTAGAGACACAGGTTTCATGCAAACAGCGAGTCTTACTGGGCTGCAGGACCTCTGCGACAGTAGGCGTGGGCTCTGCCAAAAGACAACATGGCAAAGTTTCATCCATTGTGCCATAAAAAAGCGCAAGTTAGAAAGCCTAAAAGAGGCAGAAGCTGTGAGGGAGAATACAATACTGCCACAGCTGGGAGGCTGTAAGCCAGAGGTGGTCAATAGCTGCTAGCACTAGCAATACAAATATGTGTGGGCAAGAAATGGATGAAAAAAATGTAGAGTTAATAAATGATGACACATTGGGGTGCAGTAACCCAGAGCTACAGCGCAATTGCAAGATATACTGTAAGTGGAAATGCTGCTTCCCTTTCCTCCCATATGATTTATACAGCTACTGCAAAAACATACATGTGTGAATGTGTGTACATTTGATTTCCTAACACATGCAGAGTACTGGCATTTCACTGTACCTGGTTGAACAGTTCCAGCAGCACTTGCATCCGTTGCTATAAGATCAATAAAAACATGATTCATAATACAACACTTTTATAAAGGAAAATCTAAGAAATATGAACCTGTATTTTCTACGTCACCTGGCACCCCAACAGCAGAACCATTTGTGCCAACGCCGACCTCTGGAGCTGGAGTAGCTGGTCCCCCCCCAACGCCAACCCCAGTGATGCCTCCTACAAGAGGCACACAAGGTTAGCAAATACATGCCACTGTTATCTGAATGCTAAATTAAAAAAACAAAAAGCTTTTGTGCAAGTCTCCAACTGAAAGGCTCAAAATAGTGGCTCTTGATGATTCTGGTTTTTCCTTGATACATCAATACTCTATTGTGGACTTTGTAGTAGAGGAACCAAATGAAAATTGAAATATATGAATTATTGTCTTTTCATCAAAAAAATGTATTTAGCTCAATATGACCAAATACCACTGGTAAATAGTAAGTCTAGATAGGAGTCTGTCTTCCCAAAAACAATTGTGTTTACTGTTACAGTATAACATAATGTGTTACGTTTAAGGTTTATAGTTTGTGATGAACAAAGTTACATAAAGAGTTAAATCTTAGCAGAAGGGAAACGCTACCTTTACGTGTGAAAGGAATGCATTTTCAATAAACCCAAATAGAGTAATTTAAGGCAATTTTGCACGTTTTATAATTAAGTTAATTGTCAGCAATGTTTAGACTGGTCCTCTTTGTTTAGTTAATTCATGTGGAGTTAATTTAGAAAGTTAATCCACCATACTTGAGGTGTTCTTGAAGTTAATTGAACAAAGCTTTTCCCCCTGTTTATACTTATTTAAACTTACTCCAACCTCTAATCCTGGACATGTGGAAGAGTTTCAGACATGTCGAACAGATGATTTTAGGAAATAGGACTTTTTTACTGGTAAAACTGGTGAAAAAAAATGACTGAAAGTGTTTCCAGACGCTCTTTATCATGTTGTTGTGCTTTCACACCGCTTGGATGTTCTGCATAAACTCAATAGTCAATAAAGTCTATAATATCATCAAAATCTGAATTGTGACACAAATGTTATCGCTTTGTAAGATGACAGATAATACAAAAAAAGTAGGTGCCCCACCTCCTCCGGCCCCTCCCTGTCCTCCTGTTCCTAACCCTGCTCCAGCTATTCCTCCAACACCTGATTAGGGGAAAAGAGATCGTTATATTAATCAAACAATGCCCAACCAATTTAAATCAGTTTACACACAACAAATGAAAAAGTGTGAATATTTAGTTTTTGGCCCAATTAATATAATCTAATAAAAAGTAGGATAAGTGAAAGTTTCTAAAAAATATATTTTTACACAACTCAATGTTTAAGATTGGGGTTTGTGTGGCTATTTATTTTACCGTATTTAGCAGCTTTTGCGGCAGCAGAGTATTGTCCACCTTGTAAGTAGCCGGTACCTGCTGGTACTCCTCTTGCTCCTGGTACGAGCCCCACTCCAGCTCCTCCTTGAACTCCTAATTAAGGCAAATGAAGCAGGTTCCATGATAACTTTGGTTAGTCAAATGTAATAACAAGTAGATAAAGACAAATAAAAAGAGAAATTACATGTGTAATTACTGAAAACTGCAGAGTTCCTGTAAGTCAATACGTTAATGAATGTCTCTGAATTTGTGATATTTGTGTTTGGTTTTTATACCGTATTTAGCAGCTTTTGCGGCAGCTAAGTATTGTCCAGCTCCCAGTCCTGGGACAGCACCAGGCACTGCTCCTGCTCCTCCCCATCCTGGAACAAACCCTGCTCCAGCGCCTCCCGCAACTCCTATTCCTGAAAATTATATTGTTCTTATAGGAATGGGCTAATTTACAAGAAAATGTCTCTGATGTGTAGTATTTCTACATTTACCATATTTAGCAGCTTTTGCGGCAGCAGAGTATTGTCCGCCTCCTGGTAAATAACCGGTACCTGCTGGTACTCCTCCGGCTCCTGGTACAATCCCTGTCCCAGCTCCTCCTGGAACTCCTATTCAAGGAAGAATTTGCCGTTTCTATCATTAATTACGGTATGGGCCGTACAAAAGGTCACCAGTTGGTTTGTGGACTACACTTCTGAAGTCTTGAGTTCAGTGTTGAGAGACAACTTTTGGCAGACAAGCAAAGCGCTTAACGTCACACTTAAGGACACCAGATGACCTTGAAGACCTTGATTACATATTACAGATTTCTCTAGGTTCTATACACTTTTGGATTTTGGGTAATAAAACAACTTAACAGATTTTTTTAAGTAGGTCTTATTAAAAATATTTAAGTAGAAAATGTACATATTACATCTTTAAAGAAAACATCTTACCATACGTTGGGGGTTGGACTCCAGCCCCAGGTCCATACCCTGTTGGGAGGCAACATTATATTTGTTACCTAGAAGTCATTGCATCATATTGAATTATCATAAATGAAACAGCAAAAACCTTTTGTCTACGCTTATTTTTTTAAACTCACAACCATAGCCGGCACCAACACCAGGAAGTGGCTGTCCTGCTCCACCTGGAACTACGCCTCCTTGGCCTGCTCCTTGGCGTGCTCCTTGGCGTGCTCCTTGGCCTGCTCCTTGGCCTGCTCCTTGGCCTGCCCCTGGAAGTTAGGAATAAATATTACATTTGACAGAATTTATTGGTAAGCTATTGCCATTTCAAACAAATACAATCTATCAATGCATTCAAGGCACAATTTACCAAAACTTGTTATTGTTTCATTGGATTGAGGTAATCATTTCTTCACCATCAAAATGATTGGGAGGCCACACTTTATGAAATGATAATCATGACACTATGTAAAATGGGAACAAATATCCGCTCTCACCATATTTAGGAGGTTTAGCACAATACAATATGCCCAGAAGAGGGTGAGAAGAAGAGATGTGAGTTTAGTCAGTAATAAAAAAAAACGTATAATACTCATGTAGATAAAGGAGCATGCTTACATCCATATCCTGGTAAAAATGGGACTCGTCCAGGAACTCCTCCTCCACCTGCACCACCACCTGGAACACCGCCTTGACCTTGATGCAAAACAATAATATTTTAATCATGCACACTTACTTAAAATACTACTTACAATATCTATAGTCCTGGTCAGCAATTTATTTTGAAATTGAGTTACCATATTTAGCAGCTTTAGCAGCAGCTGAGTATCCTCCTGCTCCTCCTACTCCTCCTGCACCTAATGCACCTGTTCCTACTCCTCCTGCTCCTCCTAGGCCTCCTGTTCCTAGTCTGCCTACGCCTGTCAAAGACAAATGTATTTCCATGTGAAGCTGGTGGTATGGTTAAATGCAGGAACAATTCGTTTTTTCTTGCAATTGAATTATCTATATAAGAATTTATAACAATGAAAAACAACTAAGAATCAATAGTAGAACTTTAAAAGAAAAAACTGAAACTCAAATGACTATTCCTCCTTTTGTCTGTGCATCCTGCAGCTGTTTGGAACATCAACTCCATTTCACTGGCTTTGCATCTTAGAGCGATAAAAAGCAGTCTCTCGTATTGTAAAATAAACGTTGCCTTTAAACAAACCACCACCAGAACTTCTTAAGGTTGTGATCTCCCAAAGATAATTATAGTGCTGTTATAGTCATGGCAACACAGCTTCTTCTCCATCCATGTGATACTGTAAATAAATTCCCCTTAATTAATCATGTTATCATTGAAATCAAGATCTTTTTATCTTATCTTAGTTGGATTTTATCTTTGGTGGAAAAGAATACCATATTTAGCAGCTTTAGCAGCAGCAGAATATCCCCCTTGTCCTCCTTGTCCTCCTTGTCCTCCCTGTCCTCCGGTCCCTAATTGTCCGCCTTGTCCTCCCAGTCCTCCTTGTCCTCCCAGTGTTCCTGTTCCTAATTGTCCTCCTGCTCCTGCTTGTCCTATAGTGTGCAGGGCCAAGGGGGCAAGAAAAAAACCTAATGATATTCAATACTTACTCCACTAAAATGATTATGTTCCTGTGAATACACAAAATACACAAAAACCTTTTATACACTAATTCATTTATACATATACCATATTTAGCTGCTTTGGCTGCTGGTGAATATCCCCCAAACACTGGTGCACCTCCTGGTAATCTTGATCCTATTTGGGGCCAACATTTATCGAGATGCTGTTACTGAATTCAAGGTTAAGTTACTTAGATGAGTGGATATATAATGGTAACATAAATACAAGCATATGGCATCATTTTTTTAAATAAGTAATGGGAAAAACAACGAAAACAATGCTATTCACTTTTCAGTTATAAGAATGATTACTGTACATTTTCAGTTGAGCTTTTTATGTCTTTTGCTAGATCATACCTCCTGGCACCTGCCCTGGATACTGTCCACCAGTGCCTCCTGGCAGTTGCCCTGGATACTGACCTCCAGCGCCACCACCTCCTCCACCACCAACACCCCCTGCCACACCCAAACCTGAAGCAAAGAGCACAGACTCTGTTTGGATCCAATCATGTTCTTTAATCATGTTGCACAACTTTATGTTTTGTCTTGATAGAAAAGCATTGTAGGTAATAAAGGTGTTAGGCTACCATATTTAGCAGCTTTAGCCTGAGCCGGTGAGATGCCTCCAGAACCTACTCCGAAAGAACGGAAAAATAAAAATTCAACCATAATAATTCAGATGTTCGCCAGCAGTGTGGCTTTTCGTTTAGTTTGCTCATAGCTAAGTTTGTCACATTTCTTTCTTCCCCAAGAAGAAGGCTCTCACTTTGTCAGCAGGATTTGAAAAAAACTATAGCTTGCTGTAGCTTTCTAAAGCCCTTAATTTGTTGAGCTGATTCGTTTGAATTGTAGGAAACAAATAATCTTTCACTTTCGTAACCACTGCCAAATTGAATTTTCCAAGGACTATCCTGAGAAGAGTTTGTCTTTTGCACGGTATCTTACCTCCTGGCAGCTGCCCTGGATACAGTCCACCAGTGCCTCCTGGCAGTTGCCCTGGATACAGTCCACCAGTGCCTCCTGGCCGTTGCCCTGGATACAGTCCACCAGTGCCTCCTGGCCGTTGCCCTGGATACAGTCCACCAGTGCCAGCAACACCACCAACACCACCAACTGCACCCAAACCTGGAGCAGAGATCACAGCTTACAAATATGTTCTGTACTAATGTTAAACACATGTTTTCTGGTTGGAAAAGCATTATAGGTAATAATGTGGTAGCTACCATATTTGGCAGCTTTAGCCTGAGCAGGTGAGATGCCACCGGTCCCAGCTCCTGTAGAAAGAAAAAAAGGGGTTATCTGGTCTTCTCTATTGTTCTAGTAAAGCTGTAGGCTGTGGTCAAACATCTGCCTTTACCTCCTGGCACCTGCCCTGTATATGGAATACCAGCACCCCCAGCACCGCCAACATTGCCAACACCTGAAGAAGAAATAACTAACTTGTGAGATACAAATATGTTTCTTTACTGATGTTTCACACATTATATTGTGTTTTTCATGGTACAAAGGCATTGCTGGTAAAGAATGACGTAACTACCATATTTGGCGGCTTTAGCCTGAGCAGGTGAGATGCCACCGGTCCCAGCTCCTGTAGAAAGAAAAAGAAAACATCAGGATTCTCTGGTCTTCTCTATTGTTCTAGTAAAGCTGTAGGCTGCGGTCAAACGTCTGGTGGCCCTTTCCCTTTTCTTCCATAATTGTCTCATCTTAAACATCAACTATAGGCAGAAATACATTTTTCCAACATCCAAAAATACTGTTTTGGGGTGTTGATTACAGTTTTAACTCATGATGGTGTGGAAATGGCACACTTTAGCTGTTTTTAATTTTTCCTCGTTACTTTACCTCCTGGCACCTGCCATGGATACTGAACACCAGCAGCACCAGCACCGCCAACGCCTGGAAAATAAATCACAAACCTTGGTGAGTTACAAATGTGTTTCTTTACTGATGTTTCACAAATTGTATTGTCTTTTCTTGCTACAAACGTATTGCTGGTAATAAATCAGGTAACTATAATATTTGGCAGCCTGAGCAGGTGAAATGCTACCGGTCCTCCTTTCTATAATCATCTCCACTTAACCATTAAATATAGGCAGACATGTTTCTCAAATATCCAATAGATTTGAATTTAACTCTTAATTAAGGCATGGTGTGAAAATGGCACCATGATACTCTACCTCCTGGCACCTGCCCTGGATACAGACCACCAGCACCCCCAACACCGCCAACATTGCCAACACCTGAAGAAGAAATAACAAACTTTAGTTAGGTACACATACACATGTGTTTCTTTACTGATGTTTCACACATTATATTTAGTTTTTCTTGGTACAAAAGCATTGCTGGTAGTAAATCAGGTAACTACCATATTTGGCAGCTTTAGCCTGAGCAGGTGAGATGCCACCGGTCCCAACTCCTGTAGAAAGAAGAAAAAAACATCAGGATTCTCTGGTCTTCTCTATTGTTCTAGTAAAGCTGTAGGCTGCAGTCAAACGTCTGGTGGCCCTTTCCCTTTTTTTCCATCATTGTATCATCTTAAACATCAACTATAGGCAGAGATATATTTTTTCCAACATCCAGAAATACTGTATTGGGGTGTTGATTACAGTTTTAACTCATGATGGTGTGGAAATGGCACACTTTAGTTGTTTTTTTGTTTTTCCTCATTACTTTACCTCCTGGCACCTGCCATGGATACTGAACACCAGCAGCACCAGCACCGCCAACGCCTGGAAAATAAATCACAAACCTTAGTGAGTTACAAATGTGTTTTTATACTAATGTTTCACAAATTGTATTGTCTTTTCTTGCTACAAACGTATTGCTGGTAATAAATCAGGTAACTATAATATTTGGCAGCTTTAGCCTGAGCAGGTGAGATGCTACCGGTCCTCCTTTCTATAATCATCTCCACTTAACCATTAAATATAGGCAGACATGTTTCTCAAATATCCAATAGATTTGAATTTAACTCTTAATTAAGGCATGGTGTGAAAATGGCACCATGATACTCTACCTCCTGGCACCTGCCCTGGATACAGACCACCAGCACCCCCAACACCGCCAACATTGCCAACACCTGAAGAAGAAATAACAAACTTTAGTTAGGTACACATACACATGTGTTTCTTTACTGATGTTTCACACATTATATTTAGTTTTTCTTGGTACAAAAGCATTGCTGGTAGTAAATCAGGTAACTACCATATTTGGCAGCTTTAGCCTGAGCAGGTGAGATGCCACCGGTCCCAGCTCCTGTAGAAAGAAGAAAAAAACATCAGGATTCTCTGGTCTTCTCTATTGTTCTAGTAAAGCTGTAGGCTGCAGTCAAACGTCTGGTGGCCCTTTCCCTTTTTTTCCATCATTGTATCATCTTAAACATCAACTATAGGCAGAGATATATTTTTTCCAACATCCAGAAATACTGTATTGGGGTGTTGATTACAGTTTTAACTCATGATGGTGTGGAAATGGCACACTTTAGTTGTTTTTTTGTTTTTCCTCATTACTTTACCTCCTGGCACCTGCCATGGATACTGAACACCAGCAGCACCAGCACCGCCAACGCCTGGAAAATAAATCACAAACCTTAGTGAGTTACAAATGTGTTTTTATACTAATGTTTCACAAATTGTATTGTCTTTTCTTGCTACAAACATATTGCTGGTAATAAATCAGGTAACTATAATATTTGGCAGCCTGAGCAGGTGAGATGCTACCGGTCCTCCTTTCTATAATTATATAATTACACTTAACCATTAAATATAGGCAGACATTTTTCTCAAATATCCAATAGATTTACATTTTAAAGCATGGCGTGAAAATGGCACCATGATACTCTACCTCCTGGCACCTGCCCTGGATACAGACCACCAGCACCGCCAACATTGCCAACACCTGAAGGAGGGATAACAAACTTTAGTTAGGTACACATACACATGTGTTTCTTAATGATGTTTCACACATTATATTGTGTTTTTCTTGGTACAAAAGCATTGCTGGTAGTAAATCAGGTAACTACCATATTTGGCAGCTTTAGCCTGAGCAGGTGAGATGCCACCGGTCCGCACTGCAGCGGAAAGAAAAAAAACATTCAGCATTCTTTGGTCTTTTTTGTTCTAGTAAAGGTGAAGGCTGTGGTCAAACGTCTAGTGACCATTTTCCTTTTTTCTATAATTATCTCCACTTAACCATCAAATATAGGCAGAATAATATTTTTCAAATATCCAATTGATATAAATTAAACTTTTCAGGCATGAGGGTGTGAAAAAGGCACCATGATAGCCTACCTCCTGGCACCTGCCATGGATACAGACCACCAGCACCGCCAACACCTGAAGAAGAAATTAAAACCTTGAGTTAGGTACAAATGTGTTTATTTACCGATGCTTCACACATTGTATTGTCAAATGTCTGGCCTGACTTTTCCTTATTCCATAATAAATCCCCCCTATCAAATGTGAAAGATTATTCCAACATTAAAGAAAACAGTTTTTTCGGACGTGGAATTAACTTTTAAGTCATGAGGATGCAAACATTTTTTTTTTTATATATACTCTACCTCCTGGCACCTGCCCTGGATACTGAACACCAGCACTGCCAACACCTGAAGACGAAATCACAAACTTCAGTGTTTCTTTACTGATGTTTCAACATTTGATTTGTGTTTTCCTTGTTGGAAAAGCATTATAGGTAATACATGTAGTCGCTACCATATTTGGTAGCTTTAGCCTGAGCAGGTGAGATGCCATGACATGTTTTTTTCCAACATCCGACAGATTTGGATTAAATGTATGGGTCAAGAAGGTGTGAAAATGGCACTATGATACCCTACCTCCTGGCACCTGCCCTGGATACAGACCACCAGCACCGCCAACATTGCCAACATTGCCAACATTGCCAAGATTGCCAACACCTGAAGAAGAAATCACAAACTTTAGTGAGATACAATGTGTTTCTTTACTAATGTTTCACAAATTGTATAGTAATTTGTTGTTACAAAGGCACTGCACGAAATAAATCAGGTAGGCTACCATATTTGGCAGCTTTAGCCTGAGCAAGGGAGATGCCACCGGGCCCAACTCCTGCAGAAAAAACAAAAATAAACATTTATCATTCTTTAGTCTTTTTTTTGTATTCTACATCAAATCAATTGTCAGTACACTCGTAAAAACACACCAGTTCCAACAGGATATCCAGGCCTCAACACAGGACCACCCTGTCCTCCAGGAAGTCCAGCGCCGCCATTACCAAAGCCATAACCTGAAACATTGTAATGTGAAACATCATTCACCAGTGAACGTATGCCAAGGTTATGCCAAATGTTTGCAAAAAAAGTAAAAATTCTGAAACTTGTTTTACCTAAAGGTTGTTTGCCACCGGATTTTGTTCCGTAGCCACCTGAGGAGAGAAAGAAAAATACATGAGAGCCAAACAATGAGCCAAAAATAATGCTGCTTGGCAAAACCTTAAAAACTGGGTCTAAAATAAATGTTCTGAGACATGGTTAAAAGTTTAAAACACAGTGGAATTATGATGCCATTTACTTGACTTGATTGCTTCAAATACATTAAAAACAGCTTTTAATTAATTATAGTAAATGTTATTAGTTATTCCATGTAGTGCATTATTACATTGCTGAAGTAGAATTGCACTTGTTAGTGTGTTTGGAAGCAGCTGCTTTTGGTTAGCCCTCTTTTTCTGTGTAATGTATACCAGAACATCTCTTAGGGATGAAATGTGTTATTCATTCATGTGTTCTCTTAATCATGGCTGGCCTTCTCCATGACATTTATACTGTAGATGACAGTGAAACATGATTATTCACTTGCCTCCTGTCTGCTAAACCTGTGCAGCTTGTTTTGCCTCTAACACATAGTCCTTAATAATACCCAATGTATATGTCTTAAAAGAACTTTAAATATAAATTCAGTTTTGAATTACTGTCCTACTTTAATTAAGGAAGGGTTTTTTTGCGACTGAAAAACAAGGCTCGTCAGATCCCTGATTCTGATTCTGTTACAGATGTTGAAATTCAAACTAATCATGATTGGACCTTTTCAATTTTAAAATGCCAGTAATGACACATTTGGCAATTGCTTGCGCCTTTCAATCATTTGGATTATTTTCTGTGCCCCTACCAAACTTCATTGATATATAAATAAGCAACTCAGCCAACATTTTAAAGATTTTTCTTTGTCTTGAAAAGCATATATATAACGTTTGAACAAAATCCAAAATGTAAGAAAAAACCATCTGCTTTGACCCACAGGGATATATATCTCACCTTGCACTTTGGGTGATTTTAGGGGGTATCCGTGGAACAGTCCCTGCTGCATCGGGCCACCGTACCCACGACCTCCTGTGACAGAATACATGTGTACAGACTTGATCATCTAAAACCAATAATACTGACAAAAACACAAATGTATATGTTTGTAATATAGCATATTATAAATCTAGTTACCTGGTCCTTGACCTGCTTGTCCTGCCCCTCCAACTGCAACAAAACAATCAAACAATCCAATCAGACACGAAGATGAAAGAAGATGAAGGTGTGAATGTAATTATGAGACGAGTTTTAGCAATGACACAAACACTGGCCTTAAAACAAAAGATATTAGTTGAATATATATCAGTAAACTGCATACAGATCATGATCATTTTTGGATATATAATGTACTTGACAACCAGCCTACGTTTAACAAAATTAATTGACTTAGTTCATGTGTTTATTATTTACCTTTAGTGTTCCTTTGAATATATCTTTGCGTTGTCTATTGAAGTATTGTTTATTTTATTGTTTTATCTGCCACAGCTGTGTTCCCTGTGATTTTATTCTGTTGCAAAGTGTAATAAAAAAAGTGGCATGCGATGGACATTAAATAAATAAAAAAACTCCCAATACTCATGGGGGAACCCTTACTAGACTTTGGATTCAGGCCAGTTCCTGTCGCCACACCAGGCAGAACTCCACGTCCGCCAAACCCTGAAGTAGCGATGAGCAAACAAAAGACAACACATGAATCTCTGAACAGTGCTTGTTTGCTAAAACACTGACCATTCACTTGATGAAAAAGATGACAAATATTGCCTGAGATAAATCAATGAAAGATACAAACCTTGTCCAGGTACCAGTCCACCTTGGTAAAGTCCCGGCACTCCGACACCTGCCACAGCCAATCAGAGGATAGTATTGCACTTCTGTATCCACAATCAAACATTTAATACACACTAACCTACTTTTTAGCTTCATTGCATGTGCATTTCACACATTAGCATATACATACATGTATATATGTATATGTAATGTATGTATGTTTCTTTTGTTTTACTTGTCTTTGCTCTGTTAAGCACCTCAGATCAACTGTCCTTTTTTAAAAGTGCAATTATGTAAGGGATATCTTTTGGGATACATTTGAAACTAAATACATGATGAATATATGAATGAAAAGAATAATTAGATGATGTTTTGTCGTCTACTAAATTGCATCCTGTCTGCCTACTTCAGCCTTTTCAGTTAGTGGTTGAGTCTAACAAACCTGGCACTTTGGAAGCTTTCTTTCCGAGACCACCACCAAGACCCCCTCCTGGAAGGCCCATCTGAGGAATAACAGGTCCTGAAAAAAGATTAAAAGTTACTACATCTGACAACAAATATATAAAGGTGAAAAACATAAGCATCTACTTTGACCAGAAGCTGAGTCAAAACTGTACCTGTGGTTTCTGCCTCCCAAGGACTCTCAACACTTTTACTAACTATAAAAGTGTTTCTTAAATACATTAGGGATAAGTACTATATTTGCAGCCGAAAGTTGCTCCCGGTCAGAGAACTAAGTTCGAACAAAGAGCCAATTTGAGGTTTGCAATGTTGTAGAATTCCTAAAGCATTAGAGTTTCAAAAGGAATGCTAATTGTTGTTGAAGTCCTTGGGAGGCAGAAATCACATTATGACCATCAACAGTGCAAAATGTAATACAAAATAATGATGTGTTAGTCTTGCCTCCAACAGGTACTGCGGGTCCAGTTCCTGCGCCTGTTGAAGTAAAAGTACACAGACATAAACACACAAAATTGGACGAAGTACTCAGTAGTCAGATCATTGAAATGTTACTTGAGAAATCAGAATATACTTAAAGTACCAAAAGCAAAAGTACTCATTCTGCACAACAGACCATTTTAGAATAATAAACATACCATTATTGAGTAATTAGTATTATTGATTTATTAATGTGTTCATTACTTTATTGTTAATTGTAAAGCTTTCAATTCTTTTTAAAATATTTTACTTTAGTATAGTTTTACAGTTGACTGAGATTGTCTACCAAAGGATGTAAAGTTAATCCTAACCTAAAGTAACTGATGATAATTATTTGTATTTAAGTATTTATTTCATTTTTTTAAAGCAAAGTAATCACATGTAGTAAAATATTTGCCTATCAATTGTAGTTGAGTAAGAAACAGACATGGACAATTCTTAAGGTACATCACTATGTTACTTCAGCAAAGTACTATAGTAAATGTACTTAGTTACTGAGCATCACTGTAAACAGAAGATATTGATATACATTTCCAGGTTTGAGGATAAAGCCATTCAAACATTTTGTGAACATAAGAGTAAAGAAAACCTTACAAAACAAATACTCAGTAGTGTTACATCCCATGGCCACTAGAGGGCCCTGTGATGCTGAGCAGAGGGATGAGCAGGCTACTTGTGCCAGGTTCATTTCAGCAGGGAGCTATCGAAGGACTGAACACTGCTATAGAGAGCAGCTAATCGGGCTGTACACGCCTGTCATCATGCTATGATCAAACGCAAAATGGCTGAGTTTAAATCAAATCAGTATAGTCAGCCAGCATGCCTGGCATTAGCCTTGCCTCATCAAATGCCTCATTTATTTGGCTAGCCCCTGCAGGAAATGAGCCATAAACTTAACTCATAAGGGAGTTTGGCAGCAGGATAAAACACATTGGTTTGTTTGTTGAAACTTTTTTGTCCATTTTTCATGTTAAACTCCCCGGACATTGCCGGACAGACATTGCGCACTGCCTTAAGTATGTCTTCTGGGAGATTCGATGAGGAAACATTTGGAAAGGGAATGTTTTGTATTGTCTGCGCTCTTTAGCTTTGGGGAATTATTGTTATTTTGAGTGTCATGAAAGGAGTACAGACTGACTCTAGGGTCTGCAGTGTGGTCGTTGCCAACCAATACTTAATAGCAGGCTCTTCGCCACGGTACAACAAGTCCATGCTTAATCAGACTCCATAATTTCAAGCACGTCGTGTGCACACACAGACAAAACACAGACTTTAAGATCACTCTTTGTTGAAGTTTAAACAGTGCAGCTACAATATAAAAATGTGCTTGTGTTTGCCAAACTGTTTTTCATGCTGAGTTACCATTAATTTGAAACATTCCTATTGGCAACAGAAGCATGCAGATCTGTAAAAGTTCACGTGTGTACAGTAGTCTGCCATCTGGGCAACAATTAGCTTACCTGCATGTGGTAGCAGAGATCCTCCTGCACCTGGAGGAGGACACCAGAATTGTTGTTGTATTCGTCACTACAAGCGGTTTAGGTTATAACCCTCAAGGAACCATAACAGATTATCTGTGGCTTTTTATGTTTAGTCTCAGAAACAGAAAATGTTTTCATGTGTGGCAATAATTCAACCAAAAACCGATTTGTGCAGTTGCTTTCCTGAGTAAATACAAAGCCAGTGTGGAAAAATAGTGTTGCAGTTAATTTGCATGATACCTATACTGATGCCACAAAAGGTTTTTCAACACAAGGAAGAGATCATCTTTGTGGTTCCAAATATACATTTTAAAAATATCACAATTTCCATTTCACCTCTACAGGGATCTTTTACTACAAGCCAAAAAAGGAAATATGAGAACCAAGCTTTGTAATTTGAGGAATTTAAACTGAAAGGTTGAAACAAAGTGGAAAGCCACATATTATCACTGTAGCCATCAAAACAAACATCTTAAAACAGGCAAGTGAAATAAGATCAGTGTCTCGTTCCAAAGAAACAAAAATACATCATTCTGTTTGATGACCCCCAGTTTCCATTCCAGCCCCTGAGCCCCCTGCACTGACGACTGTTTTAGAAAGATGCCCGTTTAAGAGTCACATATTGTGTCCGATTGAAAGATAACATTTGAATACACAAGGAATTCAAACCTAGAGTAAATATTGACACACAAATCTATTTTAGGTTTTTTTTAAATACTAAGAAATAGACCAACATCAGGGGTCATGTTGTTCAAGTGTAATTGATATCTTCAAAATCATTTTGAGTAAATGATACAACCAGCTGAAGCAACAAAGTTAAAGTGCTATAAACTTAAATAAATGTGTTTTATACTAATGACTCATCCCTTGTTACCTTAAATTCTGGAAGAATCTTTTTCATGCATGTCTTCCTGATGATGTAGATTAAAAAAACTCAAACAATTATTGGTGACTTGAGGTATATGAGGGCAGTATTTAAACAGTAAACAATAGTAAAACTGTGTTTACAAACTCTCACACAACGCTTGCAGAATAATTCAAGTGCCATTTATCAAGTCATACGCTCACTATTTCTAAAACACATGCATGATCACCGCAAGCAGTGACTGGTAAAATGAGACTTGAATTAAACTGCACTTTTGGGGTGAAGTATTTATTTGGGAATGTCTATTTTACTGACAACTACAATAGAGTGCTATAGAGTAGTTGATGTTAATACAATACTTTAGTTTAAAGGTCACCCTGGGTCTCAAAAAGTTCATTAGACTCTGAAAGTTTGACAATCTGACTGCCGTCCATTATTTGTTTAAACATAGCATACCAACCCATCAATAAGGTACCATTAGCTGGTCCCTTAGGATATGTATATTTAATATCTACCCAGACATGTTCTGCCCTCTGCTGTACCTCTTTTAGCAGCCTTCTGTCCAGCTCCTGGGAAAAAGCCTCCAGTTCCTCCACCATATCCACCATATCCACCATAACCACCTAAAGGAAACAAAAGGGCAAAGGTGAGTGAGTTTCATAATCTATTGTGGTATAAAGAATATAGTGTTATAACCGTCTTTCAACTAAATGTTACACACACCAGCAATTTCAGTTTTAATTCCAGATGACACAAACTCACCTCCTCCATAACCTCCACCGACTCCTAGATTGCCGTAACCTTGGCGAGAAAATGATATATAGGCAGTTGAGTAGAGAGAAAGGAACAACATGAGAAATATTGTAACACATTGCAGATGACAGCAATAATAAGAGAAACGTGATTTATTCAGCAGTAATTATCATTAAATAAAAAACATCACGCAATCTTTCATCAAGACATTTTACAGGACCTGTAATTTCTCCTTCCTAATGTGTTTAAAAAAAAAAGGCGCATGAAAAATTACACAATATCATGTGTGCTTGATTAGGTTTGATTGAAAACATTTATGTTTTTAGAGCCAAGAACTGCACCTTAGGCGGGGAAAGAGTTGACCCCCAGTGAGTCAGAAACATGATAGACCAAACATGAAATATGCTTGATCATCTGGTCATGCTGTCATCTAAACACTGGAGGGAGCAGTCTGTTCTTTCTGATACCAAAAGCTTCAAACTAATCTCTGGGCGGCTAAAGCTTTTGGCCGGACTTAACACACAATTAAAGTTATATCCCAGCTTTGGTATCTCGTTGCTGACAAGAGCAAAAATATTGAGCACAAAGAAATAGAAATTTAAAATAAGTTTGGAAAGAGGGAAAGGACATGAAATGAAATGCTCATCACCTGCTCATGAAAAATAAATCTGAATCTTAAAATAAAAAACCCAGACGATAAAGTGAAACCACAGACGATACCATTATACATACATTTCAAACTCAATTGTATTTTATCGTTGCCATAAATCTTAAAACATGCACATATAAAATTGTCATTAGAAGATAACAAATTGGAAATACTTAGAAATATTTATAAGTGAATTATTGTACTGCTTGGGTTAAGTTACCTGTTCCACACCGCATTTTACTGACTGTCCTTTACTTTATTTATTTTTAAACCTTCTATGCTCTTAACCTTTTTATTTTTATTTTTATATTGCCATATTTTATCCAATATGCTCCTTTAGATAACTTTTTACTTATTGTTCCTTATAGCTTTATAGCACCTTGAGATGACGTTGTTTTTAAAGTGTGCTATATAAATCAAATGTATTATTAGGGTCTGAGACCATAGGTCGGCGAAGACCCTATTGAAATCGGTCGCGCAGCGACCGATAAACCTGCGAAAAACACATAAAAACAGGGAAAACGACCGGCAAAAGCACAGAAAAGGTTCGGAAATAGTAACGGCAGATAGTCCGCGCGAGCCCAGTCACGTGGGCGAAGCCCACGTGATTGCAACTCGCATAATTAATATCGTTACGATCAATTTAGTCGCTCGCGAAGCGAGCGATAACCATGCAAAACCCACTAAAAACAGGGGAAAAGACGGGTAAAAGCCCATTAAAAGTGGCCTAAATCATGACAGTAGGTAGCCCAACGGCCTACAGTGACGTGGGCGTAGCCCACGTCACTGTAAACGAGCACATTATTGATATTGGTCCGATTATTTATTATTATTATTATTATTATTATTATTATTTTAATACATTGAGCGCACTTTTGAGCCCCGCCACATATGTGAAAACTCAACAAATTTTGCACACGCGTCAGAAGTGCGCAAAATTGTGATATTTAATTGGTTCCGGAACTTTACGTCAAAAATTGCGTAGGCCACGCCCACTTCCGTTTTTAACGTTAACTCCCCCTACTTTAACTTTCACGTAACCGAACGAAACTCGCTAAGCCTATCTAAGGTGCGGAGACAAACAAAAAAGCCTCTTGGAGGGGTATAAAATAACGTACAGGAAGTCGGCCATTTTGAATTTGGCGTTGAAAAAGGCGTCAAAAAACGCCATTTATCGCGTTTTTTCGTCCTCCGCGCAAAATCTATCTCCTCCCAGGGACTTTATCCGTACGACTCGAAATTCGTCGGGTAGCATCTCGAGACATGGGCAATTAAAAGTTATCACGGAAGTTTTTTTCTTTCGCACGGCGCAGCCGTTATTTGGCGCCAAAGTTCGCGTTCGCTCGATGCTAGTCCCATCAACCGCCATGGAATACGATGATGTCATCACTCAAACTGACATGCTCACAACGCCACCAAATTTCACAATGTTGTCTTAAGTCAATGGAAAATGTTCCAAACTGCACCAGACTTCAGATGACAGTTAATGGTCCGGCCCTCAACACATTAATATGACAAAAGTCAGTTTTCCTCAAAAGCTGTTGCCATGGCAACGAATCCCTCGCCATAAAACACGGTGTCGCCGTAAATCCAATGGACACGGTCCCATCGTCCCCCAATCTTCACTTTTATATCACTGGTCCATGACTCAACAGCTCTACGTGAAATCTGAGATCTCACCGTATGCCGTTTCCATGGCAACGCATCCTTCGCCATAAAACACGAAGTTGCTGTTACTCCTATGAAAATGGTTCCAAACTGCACCAGACTTCAGATGACAGTTAATGGTCCGGCCCTCAACAGCTCTACGTGAAATCTGAGATCTCATCGTATGCCGTTTCCATGGCAACGAATCACTCGCCGTAAAACACGATGTTGTCTTACGTCAATGGAAAATTGTCCAAACTGCACCAGACTTCAGATCATGGCTACTAGTCCGGCCCTCGACAGCACTATGTCAATTATGCGGTGTCATCATATGCCGTTTCCATGGCAACGCATTCCTCGCCATAAAACACAATGTTGTCTTAAGTCAATGGGAAATGGTCCAAACTGCACCAGACATCAGATGACAGTTAATGGTCCGGCCCTCAACAGCTCTACGCCAATTCTGGGATGTCATCATATGCCGTTTCCATGGCAACGCATTCCTCGCCATAAAACACGGTGTCGCTGTAAATCCAATCGACACGGTCCCATCGTCCCACAATCTTCACTTTTATATCACTGGTCCATGACTCAACAGCTCTACGCGAAATCTGAGATCTCACCGTATGCCGTTTCCATGGCAACGCATTCCTCGCCATAAAACACGGTGTCGCTGTAAATCCAATCGACACGGTCCCATCGTCCCACAATCTTCACTTTTATATCACTGGTCCATGACTCAACAGCTCTACGCGAAATCTGAGATCTCACCGTATGCCGTTTCCATGGCAACGCATCCTTCGCCATAAAACACGGTGTCGCTGTAACCCCAATGGACACGGTCCCATCGTCCCACAATCTTCACTTTTAAATCACTGGTCCATCACTCAACAGCTCTACGTGAAATCTGAGATCTCACCGTATGCCGTTTCCATGGCAACGCATCCCACGCCGTAAAACACGATGTTGTCTTACGTCAATGGAAAAGGTTCCAAACTGCACCAGACTTCAGATGACAGTTAATGGTCCGGCCCTCAACAGGACTATGCCAATTATGGGATGTCATCGTATGCCGTTTCCATGGCAACGCATCCCACGCCGTAAAACACGATGTTGTCTTACGTCAATGGAAAATGATCCAAACTGCACCAGACTTCAGATGACAGTTAATGGTCCGGCCCTCAACAGCACTATGCGAATTATGGGATGTCATCATATGCCGTTTCCATGGCAACGAATCACTCGCCATAAAACACGATGTTGTCCTAACTCACTGGAAAAACGTCCAAACGGCACCAGACATCAGATGATGGCTAATGGTCCGGCCCTCAACACATCTAGGCGTATTATGGGGTGTCATCAAATTCCGTTGCCATGGCGACAGATCACTCGCCATCAAACACAATGTTTATGATACTGCTGTAACTCCCATTTACGTTGTCCGATCGGCCTGAAACTTCCCACGTTTGCCAACGGCCGAGTCCGGAAAACTCCTGCATGATACCTCGACGTGCGGACAACAGCCTGCGGAGCGTCGAAGACCCGCTCAACGCTGCTTGCAGCTTTAATTATTATTATTATTATTAAGTGGCTGATATGAAATAGGAAAAAAAAAACATTGTATAGGACTGACATTTCTTAATGTATACACAAAACTCTGTTTAATATTTGTTTCCTTTGATTTGTCACATATTTGTGATTCCAAGACAAAAAAATACTATATATCAAGTCATACATATCAATGTATATCCATACATATCAATGTATACATATAAACAGTATATGGAAAAAGTGAGTGGGATATTATTCAAATTTAGATTCATTAAGTTGAAATTCTTCCATATGACTGTCAAAGTGATATATTTATTTATACTTTCTGGGGCTAAGATATTGGACCCCAAGTTTTTATGTAGGGGACATTTTTTCTCAAAATGTGTTTCTCAGAGTTGTATTAAAAGAGGCTGTGAACTGCTTTTTCCCCAATCAGAGATAAACATGTTGGAGTAATGACTGTTTTTTTAAACAAGAGGACATTTGAAAGCTGCCAGCAAGCAAGTCCACCAAGGATCTTGTTTTCATCAATATGTTTAAGCCAGCTAAATCTGGGGTGAGTGCAACTGAGCATGGGAAACCAGCTGAGGGAAGGAGGTGAGGAGTGGGAGGGTCAGACTGGAGGGCAAGATCGGAGTCCAGCAATCTGCAGGGTGCAGGTAATGATCCTGAAGAAGATCAGGAATGTGCAGGGAGACACGGAGATAAAGTTGTAAGTGTGGAGTTTCATGATTTAGTCAAAACAAATGTGGGCACTGGCCTTGCCAGATTAAGCATGCAATGCGAGCCCAAACACTAAACTAAGAATCCTTTCAATAATCCATCTCCTTCAAAGCTTTCTGCTCGATACGCCTCGATTGCTCAACCATCCCAAGACACACCTCAAAGTAATAACAACAGTAATCAATTCTTATATAAATCAGTCTGATATCGGGCTTTCATTCATCCAGTGCATCTTGCATTGACACAAGGAATCTGCCTCATTTGTCCATCTTTTTTTGTATCAGTCAGCTCCACATGCCTAAAAAAATGTGAAGGAAAAAAACAAGATAGTTACAGGATGTCTGTAACATTTCTTTTTTCTTTAAAAAAAGGTTCTGTCTGGTCTGGCCTTCGGATTACAGAATGTCCAATGTGATAGGTTTATGTTTGTCATTGTGAGTGTTGGAATATATACAGCATAGTCTGCGCAACAGAGATT